AAGCTGGGCTCTGTGTTGCGGAATCTGCTTGTGCCTCCAACTCCCGGTTTCCCATAGCAACTGGCAGAGGAAGGTAGTGCAGGGCTAAATCATCCCATTTTACAGACAAAGTCTGCAAGTCAGGGTCAGGTCTCACAGAGAATGGGGGGCACATGCCAAGCATTTGATCTGAGCTTTCCCTGTGATCACTTAGCCTCCCGGGGGTTTCCAACCCCAAGGGTGAGAGAGGGGGGAGTGGAAGAAAATGCTATGCGTCCTCTGGGCGTAGAGGACCAGACTTCCGTGATGCTTGTGTCACTGACTGGCTGCCGTCTGATCTCAGGCAAGTCTTGGGTCTCTGAGCCTCAGGTTCCTCATCTATAGAATGGCAAGGGTAGAAGTGTTGTCTCCTGGAGGGAGTGGAAGGATGTCACTGTGGGAAGCTGCATGATTATTCCTGGGCCAAGGAGCCACCACAGAAGCAAACCACAGGTGTGCCGTGGGCCCCCACTCTCCCCCTACCTTTCCCCCCATTGGGGGAGGGGGAGTGGAAAACAAAACGCCGTGGAACCAGGCCCAACGCGTCTGGGGATGAGCTGTGCAGGGACTGCCCCTCACAAGGAAGAGGGAGCAGTATTGGCTATGGGAGGCTATGGTGGCACGTGATGGGCAGTGCAAGGTGAATGTGAGCAATCTTGTGGCCCAGAGCCCCAGGCAATGCATATCTAGGTCCTTGGAAAAATCCATGTTGTGGGCCTGATGATGGGCGGTACTGGGTGGGCCATCTGCAGAATGTGACCAAGCCCTCGGCTCCATGAGCTGGAGGTGAAGCCTTCCTGGCATGAGAAAAGGAGATTTTTTTTTTTTTTTTTTTTGAGATGGAGTCTCACTCTGTCACCAGGCTGGAATGCAGTGGCGCGATCTCAGCTCACGGCAACCTCTGCCACCCGGGTTCAAGTGATTCTTCCACCTCAGCTTCCCGAGTTGCTGGGATTATAGGCGCCCACCACTATGCCCAGCTAATTTTTTGTATTTTTAGTAGAGAGGGGGTTTTACCATGTTGATCAGGCTGGTCTCGAACTCCTGACCTCATGATTCGCCTGCCTCGGCCTCACAAGTGCTGGGATTACAGGTGTGAGTCACTGCACCCGGCGAAGACAAGGAGATTCTGTACTCTGGAGTCCTGTCAACAGTAGAAACAGAAGCTCCGGGGTAAGAAGAAAGGCTTCCCTTATAGGAGGTTGTGCTTACAGGAGCATAACCAGGTTTTGGCCAGGGTCAGAGTCAATCTGTGGTCAAGGCCAGGGCTATGGTAACAGTGGATGAGGCTCAGCCTGGAGCTTAGTCAGAGCTGGGTCAGGTCTCAGCAGGGTGAAGTACATGTTAAAACCATGTCCGCAGCAGAGATCACCAGGACAAGAATTAGCATGCAAGAGACAGTCACCAGAAGGTGACAAGCAAAAACAACCAGGGCGTTTATACAAACGAGCACGGCGTGGCTCCACAGGTCCTGTTGGAGGCTTGTCCTACAATGTGGGAAGCAGAGCAAAGACTTCAAGCTGAGCCCTGCAACTCTCCTCTTTGCCTGAATGGCTCCAAAAGGAGATGTTGCTGCTGCTGCTTCCGTGTGTGTGTGTGTGTGTGTGTGTGTGTGTGTGTGTTCTTATTGCTTCTCAGGGGACAAGCCCATTGTTGCCGGAGTGAAGACGTAAAGGTTGAGTGTGGGAGAGAAAGCATGTTGGGGAGTTGGGAGGGTGCACAGAGCAGCAGAGAGACAGGGATGGGCGGAGGGGCAGGGAGTGTGAGAATGCCAGAGAAAGTACGAGAAAGCAGAGAGTGAGAGGGAGCAGGAGGGAGAGAGGGCCACACACACATGCACACACATGCATATATGCACACATTCACACATGCATGTACACAGTCACACATGCATGTACACATATGCACACAGTGTACATATGCACCCACACATGCACACATGCATGCACTCACACATGCATGTACACACATGCACACACATGCACATATGCACACACTCACACATGCACATGCACACATGTACACACACATAGCAAGAGAGAACAGGGAGGGGAGGGAGAATACCCTTAGGGAGCAGGGGGCTGGAGATATCCTGAGGACAGGGACCCAGGCAGACAAAAGAGAAATCCACAGAGAATGAGAGAGATCAAGAAAGAAACATACCCAGTCCAATAAAGTGAGACCCAGAGAAAGGAAAGCGAGAAAGGTGCTGGGGTGAGAAGAGAGCAAGGCTATGCATTCGTGTTTCACCCAGAGAGAGAGACAGATGTGGCAGGCAGCACGGGAGAGCTTGGGAGAGGCCAAGAGAACTACAAGGACCAAGAGAGACACAGACCCATAGAAAGGGGTCCAGAGAGCTCAGATCTGAGTGAGTCAGGGCCAGATGTAAAGCATGAGAGAAGCATGCTGAGACTCTGGGGGAGAAAGACATATTTGATCGGAAACAGACCAAAGCCCACGAGCCAAAGATGGAGCAGGGTTATACTGGTGATTAGGAAAAAAGGGGAAGGAGGCCCGGGCCGTGCAGGAGTAGGCATGCTCAGACCTCCAGAGCCCTGGGAGACCCCACAGGGTTCCACTAGCCTTGCATGCACCACTGGGACAGGACTTACGGCACCGTAGAAGAAATGGGAGCTAGGATATGCTGAGCGCCTGCTGCATACCTGCCGCTCCCAGCTCATGTCAGAGGTATTTCTATCATGTTTTTCACAAAACTGGATTCCAGCAGAGGGGAGGTCGTGTCTCACCCTGCACACAGTAGGTGCTCAGAAATCTATTCACCATAGATTGAATGCTAGAATGAACAAACGGATAGCTCCATGCGTGAGTAACTGAACCAGGAGACAAAGAACTCAAGGTGGTCATCAGGCTGATCCTGATTACCTGACTCTGGAGCTGGGCTAGCATGTCACAGGGGCTGACAACAGCAGGAGTGGAACCAAGAGTGAGCGTAGGGCATGACACCCATGCTCCTGCTGCTGCTGCTGGTGATGGTGGTGATGACACCATCGTGCAATAGCATCTCAGCCTGTGCTTTTATGGTGTGGGGGGCACTCTTATAAACACCTTACCTGCATCATCTCACTTAATCCTCACCACAATCCGATGACATAGGGACTACGATGATATCATTTTTTAGATGAGGAAACTGTAGTTGTATTGCTAGCAGATGGTGGGTCCAGGATTGACAGCAATCTGTCTAACACCAGAATTGAGCTCTTAACCTCTTCATAATTCTGCTTCCCGAAGAATAATATGACCTTATATTTGTTTACAGCACCTCAAATTGTGTTGTATTTTCAAATTTGTTGTATTATTTGTCCTCACAGCAGCTTGCTAGACAGAGCTATAGAGCCAGAGTCGTTATTGTTATTGTTGTTTAAAAGATAGGAAAACAGACACAGTGGTGGAGGGTGTGGAAAAGCACAAAGCTCACATGCAGCAGGATCTGCACTGGAACCTGGTCAGGGCTCTGCCCAGTACGGAATAAACCATTTCCCAGATGGAACACGCCAGGCTCAGGAAATTGTCCGAATGTGTGTGGTGCCTGGCTGGAGTGTGGGCAGCCAATACAGGATGTCCAGGGCAGGCTATCAGGATGGCAGGATTTCAGGACTCTTGAAACAGTATACCTGGTTTTGAATCCTGACTCTAGCCAGTGACCTTGGGCAAGGATTCCTCAGCTACTCTGTTCCTCAGTTTCCTTGTCTATAAAATGGGGATAACAATAATTGTACCTTTTTTGTATTGTTATGAGAATTGAGTTAATATTTGTAAAGCACTTATACTAATCTCAGTGTGTGGTAATAGTTAGATAATTGTTGTTAAGTCAATCAAATAGATACATAAAATAAGACAGGAGGAGATGTCCTAACAAGAACTGGGGGTCTGGTCAACTGAGCTCTAGAGTGAATCAGAACTCTGGACAGCTCCCAAAGCTTCAGATCCACCATATTGATTCCTTCTGTTAGTAAAGTTCTTTGGCAGTGAAATGGATCTCAACCCTTTGTTCTTAGTTATCATAAGGTTGGAGATTGTCCTCAACACCCTTTGATGTCTGTTCTGTGAGGGAGGGCACAAAGCTCTTCACCAGAAAGGCACATCTGTTTTTGGGCAAAGTGTGGGGAGGACAGCACACGTGCCTAAGGGATTGTCTTTGAAGAAATGTCCCTTTGTAGGACGAGGGACGGTACCAGATGTGTGTATGTGATGTGTGGGACCCAGGGCCTTGTTTTCAGTGTGGTTATGGAATCTCGCCCCACTGGTTTCTCCCAGAGGACTCACTATGCTCAGACAAGGAAAGAACAAGGATAGAGACAGGGTTGAGGGGAGGAGTGCGAGAGAATGGAGGCTTTAAGAGGGTCATAAAGTTCAGATGGGGGCTAAAGGTTCCATACAGCTCAAAGCTTCCTTAGAACCAGAAGGTTTCTTCTCCTCCAGTTACTCATCCACTCAACTCCTGGTGGTGAGTTACTTCTCTTGTGATGACATCACCATCATGGCTGTCATCTGTGAGCACCTGCTCTGCACCAAGACCTTTACATCCATTATCTCATTTAATCCTCACAACACCTCTGTGGCCACATCCATTTTACTGACGGGAAAATCGAGGGTCAGAGAAGTCAGTAATTTAAGGAAAAACTGCTTGCAAATGACAAGGTTTTGCTCTTTCTTCCCAAACACACTGACTTTCAAGAGATACTGCCCTCAGTGCTAGGAATGGTACTTTTTATGGGGTTTCAGGCTTTTTGTTACTTTCTTTTGCTGTATCACGTGGAGGTCCAGTAGGGTACAACAGTACCTTCTTGCAATGACAAATCTCTGAAAGTCTTGTAACTGTCTAGCTACAGTACCTAGTCGAGGTACACCTCAACTCAAGGAAGAAATAGCATAAGAGAAAATGTCTCTCAGACATAAGCTCCTGATCAGGCTACCTATCCCTAGCTGCACCTGCTCATGCTCACCACTGCTTCTTCCCACAGAGGAGATGGCTGAAGGGAAGAATGCCATCCTCATTGGGATGAGCCAGTGGAACTCCAATGACCTTGTGGAGCAGATCGAGACCATGGGGAAACTGGACGAGCATCAAGGTGAGATTCTGCTTCTCTCATGACCAGGATGTGCACATAGGTGTGTTGCAGGGTGGGGTGTAGGGCTGGCAACTGGGGCTGGGACTTGGGTCTTCTTTGAAGAGTCCATCTGCCTTGGTTCCTCCTTCATAGCATCCCTGATATTCTGCCACCTACAGGAACTCTCATGGGGACTTCCGTAGGGTTTTGTGTGGCAGAACAGCTCCAGAGTACTTCAAAAGATCTTCCTTTGTTCATAGAATGACCACCCCAGTGGCACGGGTGATAAATGGCAGGTGCCTGGGTCCAAGCTCCTTGGACTGCCAGGTCTTTGGTACTGGAATCTGAATAAGGAGGGTGACAGTTGGAGAAGCCTTTGAGCAGGACAGGAGCTGAGGTCTAAGGGGAAAGAGAAGGACAGCAGTGAGAATCAGGATTTCCTTTGGCTGAGCTGTTGAAGAAGGAGTATATGGCTGGGGATTAATCCAGGAGGCTTTCTTTGGAGAAAAGTTTTGACCAGGAGTTTGATCAGCCTACAAAGCAGGCTGATTCTTTTTGGCATCCATCTATCCATCTGCTTGGCTATTGTTCATCACTCACAGGCTCGTTGAGCACCTACTGTGTATAAGTGCTTGGCAGGAGCAACCAAAGGTGATTCATCTGAGACCTCTGTCTTGTGATGTGTGACACTGTAAAAATCAAGATATATGCATCAGGCTTAAGCTGAGGGCTGTTAGCTCAGAAGGGAGACGCATGACTTTCAGGAGGCAGGAGAGGGGATCCAGGAAGGGCTCCTGACAGTGAAGCAGTGGGGCAAGGCTTTAAAGTGCAGATGGACAGCGTGGCTGAAGAAGTCATAAAATCTGAGCTAATATATGGAAAACTGAACCTCAGAGATCTTCAGCTGAGGGCTGTATTTGATTAATGTTACAATGGAGTGAGAAGCAGAGCCAGGGCTGGAACCACATCTGGGATGCAGGGTGCTAACCTCTGTACCTGTTACCCTCAGGTTGGTTTCTTCCATCCCTCGTTCCCCACCCCACATACCACTCCTCCTACTTTATTTCTTCCTCATCTTCTCTTCTCCTTCCTCTCTTGCTCCTGTCATTCGCAGTTGTGCTCTGGCCCAGAGTTGCCAAGTGGGCAAGGCCATGCTCTTAGGAGGTGTTCAGTGAGATGGTCCTGGCCCAGCTCACAAGAACGGCTGCCTTGGTGGTGACCATCTTGCCCTCTCCCTGTTCCTTTTCTCATCCCCATCCCTGCCCCCTTGGTTCAGAGCTCTCCTCATGCCAAAGCACCCATCCTGAGAAATGGGCAGGCTTGGTGTGGTCATCATCCCATCTAACCAACAAAGAACCCAGGCTCAGAGGAGCCACGTCTTGTCCGAGGTCCCCCAAACTGGTGGCAACTTTAGGCTCAGATTCCTGGTCTTCTGATTCCCAGTCCAGGGCCTCACCTCCCTGACTGGACTAAGGCTTGGCACAGTTCTGGGCCCTAACAAAGTCAGGCTGAAGGAACCATGAGTCTGAAAGGAAAGGCGCCCTGTACCATTGTCCCATCCATGAGAAGGGGTGGGGGGCTCTGAGTCTGGCCCCCAAAGGCAATCCAGAGACAGCGTACCAGTCTTCTTAGCCATGTATCTGCCAGTGGGTCCTTTGCTGCTCTTTCCTTCATCCCGAGAACCCAGAGGGGGCCTAGAAGGGGTCATGGATTCTAGGTCCTGCCCCACAACAGTGCTTGTAGCCTTGAAAAGACAAATCTGGATTGGTACCACCCATTTGGCCATCCCCTTCCCACCCCCACCCCCACTTGTCTGCTAAAGAGTATATGACTCAGACCCAGTGTGGACTAAGGGCTTTCGGGTGAGCAAGAGGCAGAGTGAGTTGGGAGCGCACGGGAGGGCAGGGGATGAGGAAGCATAGCGGGAAGTTCAGGAGAGAGGCAGAAGCTGCAGTGTTGGAGTTAGAGAAGCCTGGGTTTGAACTTCAGCCATGCCACTCCATGACTCTGTGGTCAGGAAAAGTCACATCACCTCTCTGGGCTTCTGTTTCTTCATCTGCAGAGTGGAGGACTAGTAAAAAAGCTGCGATGATTAAATGAGATGATATTTGCAAAGTGCTTTCGATAGCAGGTCATTCTTATAATGATGGAAGGGGGAGAAGCATGGCCAGTCTTGCACAAGTGGCAGCCCTCACAAATGCTTCCTGGTGCTCAGGCACGATTGAATGAAGGGCAGTGCTTGCCTGAGTCCGAGGGTTGGTGGTGTTTCTTCCCAGTACAGAATGGACAGCGGGAAGAAGAGAGGAAAGACGGTAAGAGGAAGAGGAAGCCAGCTGGATTTCCAGCTCCTTCCGAGTCCCGTTCTCATGTGGATTCATAACGTGAAGTCCCACAACACGACAGAACACACACATTCATTTCAATAGTCATTTATGGAGCCATCACAGGGGCTCGACCCTGTGCCCAGTGTAGGGGGAACAGAGACAAGCAGGATGGCCTTGTCACTCCTTAGAAGCTTACAGCAGAGTGGAAGCGACAGATCAGAGCCAGGGGTTACTATACAGTAAGACAGGCTGGGTCCAGGCTCTGAGAGGCTCTGGGAAGTGTCTTGGGGAAAGGAAGATCCGTGAACACTTCCTGGAAAGGAATGCAATCGAAATTGGTGGCATAGACAGAGCGGATCCTCCTGTCTTCTTCAAGTTTCCTGCCTTTAGACACAGGGCTCATTCCAGGCACCCCCCACCCTCATGCTGGACACTCTGGTCAGTCACACTGCCTCCATGGTGCTCCAGCCACCTCGATGGCAACTCCCTGCTGTATCTCCAGCCAGGACCTTTCTTCTGGGCCCCACCCTCACATTTTTGGTAACCTCCTGCTAACCTCTACCCGGATGTCCTAAAGACTCCTTATGCTCCACACATTCCAAAGGGAGCCGACCTTCTTCCTTTTAAGCCTGAATTCTGTTTTGTATTTCACCTTCTCTCTCCCTCACCATTTAAGTCATATATTTCATCAGCACTTTCAGACTGCTCTCATCCCTCCAGTTCTCAAGGGTGCTAATTCTGCTGTGTGTGTGTGTGTGTG